GCATAACATTTTAAAGAAAGAAAGAAAATCAAAGATAAAGAAAAAATCCTGAAAGAAGCCAGAGGAAAAATACCACCTTCCCTATAGAGAAACAAAGATAAAAATTACATCCGACTTCTCAGAAACCATGCAAGCAAGAAGAGAGTGGAATGCAATAATTAAAGTGTTGGGAGAAAAATCCACCAACCTAAAATTCTGTACTTTGTGAAATATCCTTCATGAGTGAAAGAAAAAGACTTCTTTAGATAAACAAAAACTGAGGAAATTTGTTGCCAGTAGACCTGCCTTGTAAAAAGTGTTTTCAAATAGTACTTTGGAGAGAAGGAAAATAATATAGGTCAGGAACTTGGCCTTCCTTACATAAAGTAAGGAAGAGTAGCAAGGGATAGGTGAAGGCAAAATAAAAACCTGTATTATTTTTATTCTTAATTATCTAACAAGTAACAGTTCAAAATAATAATAGCAACCATGTATTTGATTATGCATATTTATGTATATGTATATATTATACATATATTTATTTATGCTTATATACGAGTGGAATGAATGACAGCAATGACACAAGGAACGGGAGGGAGGAGCTGGGATTATTTTGTTATTATAAGGTATTCACACTACCCATGAAGTCATGAAGTGGTGTAGTGTTATTTGAAAGTGGACTTAATCTTAAATGTATATTGCAAACTCTTAAGACAACCACTAAAAAAAGTTTTAAAAGTGTAACTGATATGCTAAGAAATGAGAGAAAACAGAATCATACAAAACGTTCAGTTAAAATTCCAAAAAGCAGGAAAGAGTAGAAGACAAAAATAAGAACAAAGAACATGGCCAAAAAACAGAAAACAGCAATGAACGTAGTATATGTTAATCCAACTATATCAATAATTACTTTGAATGTCAGTGGTCTAAATGCACCAATTAAAAGATAAAGGATTGTCAGGGTGCCTGAGTGTCTCAATTCGTTAAGCATATGACTCTTGATTTTGGCTCAGGTTATAATCTCAGGGTCATGGGATCTAGCCCCGCAACAAGCCCCGAGTTGGGTTCCACGCTCAGCGTGGAGTCCACTTGTCCTCCCCCTCTACCCCTCCCCCTGCTCGTACTTGCTCTCTCTCTCTCTCTCAAAAATACATTACATATATGCATACAGATAAACAAAAAGATAAGAGATTGTCATAATGGATTAAAAAAACATGACCCAGCTGTATGTTTTCTACAAAACAAACAAAAAAACAAAAACCCTCTTTAAATACAGAGACACAGATTAAACGTAAATGGATGGAGAAAAATATACCATGTTAACAGTAATCAAAGTAGCTATATTAATTTCAGAAAGAACTGATTTCAAAGGAAAGTTATAAGAAATAAAGAAGAGTATTACATAATGATAAAGGGGTCAATGCTTTAAGAACACTGCCTTAAAAGTAATGAAACTTATTTCCTTCCTCACCTCTATCTGCTAGCATAACTTATATCTGGAAGTTGATTAAAATTCACATAGAATTTTCACAAACCTACTTCACTGCATTCAAACTATTAATTTGTAAGGATTACAGATGCCCATTTTTCAAATGAGGACGCTATGGTTAGTTGCCATTATAAAGATCAGAATGTTATTCATTCAGTGTAGTTTATTCAGAGTCTACTACCAGGTGGTCAGAGCACTAAGAAAATGCATAGAAAGGATTCTAAACCTATGTCTGGAGAGTTGGGGGATGAGTGGAAGATGGCTTCCTGGAAGAAGTGAAATCTAAGCTAAGATGAAAGTGAACTGGTTCCTAGGCAAGGGACAAATCACAAATGATCAATTATGCATTTTATTATAACTACAAAAAGGGGTCAATGAAAATATTTAATTAAGAGAGTTACATGACCTGCAGCCACTCTGGAAAACAGTACAGAGGTTCCTCAAAAAGTTGAAAATAGAGCTACCTTACAACTCAGCAATTGCACTACTGGGTATTTACCCCAAAGATACAAATGTAGTGATCCGAAGGGGCACCTGCACCCCAATGTTTATAGCAGCAATGTCCACAATAGCCAAACTATGGAAAGAGCCTAGATGTCCATCGACAGATGAATGGATAAAGAAGATGTGGTATATATGTACAATGGAATATTATGCAGCCATCAAAAAGAATGAAATCTTGCCATTTGCAATGACGTGGATGGAACTGGAGAGTATTATGCTAAGTGAAATAAGTCAATCAGAGAAAGACAAGTATCATATGATCTCACTGATATGTGGAATTTGAGAAAAAAGACAGAGGATCATAGGGGAAGAGAGGAAAAAATGAAACAAGATGAAACCAGAGAGGGAGACAAACCATAAGAGACTCCTAATCTCAGGAAACAAACTGAGGGTTGCTGGAGTGGAGGGGAGTGGGAGGGATGGGGTGGCTGGGTGATAGACATTGGGAAGGGTATGTACTATGGTGAGCGCTATGAATTGTGTAAGGCTGATGAATCACAGACCTGTACCCCTCAAACAAATAATACATTATATGTTAACAAAAAAACATTAAAAAAAAAAAAAAAGAGTTACATGACCATTCTGCTTCCAAGTGAAGAACAGATTAGAGGATTAAAAAGCTGACCAGAGAGAAATGGCTGATTCTAGGGCTGAGGCAGGCAAAATACAAGATGGCTCGCAAGCATCTTATAGTGCCTGAAACTAAGGAACTGAGCAGAAAACAAAAGAGTTAGAGCTTGCCACATGGCTACAGAAGTGGAAAGCACTCCCCCCTGGCAAAAGCTGGAACAATGTGACTAAAAAAATAAATAACCAAAATAAATAAATATCCATGAAACTTTGTCCTTCTATATTGATATAAATAAATTATTGGATACATGAGTAAATAGGTACAGGAGAAGAGACCATTCTTCCTTAGAGAGGAATTCAAAATAATTTATATAGATTCTCCACTCTTTAGGAGATGGAGCTTAACTTCCCTCCTCGCCTGTGTGGGCCACATTTACTGACTTTGTGCTAAATAACAGACTATGAAAAGGGATAGAAGCTAACTCTGCAGTTAAGGAAACTGGCAAGTGCTATCTGCACCAAGTAACCGAGTTTAACCCTATCATGGCAAGTCGTATGGACAGCACACACCCATGGTCTACGGCACAAAGGGTGCCTCATTTTTGTTATGCTATCCCTGCCCAAATCCTCAGCTTCAGTCTAACCATGAGAAAAATACTGAACAAACCCAAATTGAGGGATATTCTAAAAATGGCTAGAGCTCCGTAAAGCATGTCCAGGAATAAGCAGGTTATATTAATAAGGAATAAATGAGGAAGTGTGACCAGAGGAGACTAAGGAAGCATGACTAGTAAATTTAATATAGTATCCTGGATTAGAGACTGGGACAGGAAAAGGACACTGGTGGAAAAAATAGTGAAATTGGAATCAAGTCTGAAGTTTAGTTAATAGTAACATGTCAGTGTTGCTTCCTTAGCCATGATAAATGTACCAGGTAATGTAAAATGTTAACAATAGGGTAAACTGGATGAGGGGTATACATGGATTCTCTGTATTATCTTTTTAACGTTTCTATAATCTAAAACTATCCAAAAATCCAAAGTTTGCTTAAAAGATAGCAAGATGTAGTGAGAGCAGTTAGGAAACTGTTTCAAGGAGTAAATAATGGTCTGAATTAGGGAAGTAGAGAGACACTGTATCAGAAAGAGAACAGAGTCAATATGTTGAAAGTGGCTCAACATGACTTGGTGACTGTGTCAGGGGTCAAAGGTAACTGATGAGGTATAGAGAAGGGACAGAGAATACATTGTTGGTGAGTGGTCAAGCCAACTCATAAATCCAGGGCCTCTGCCTCTTTATGACAATTCGATGCACACTGTAGCACAAAGGAGAGCCCATCTGAAAGAACACAGGGAAATAATCCAGGCATGGGGCAGAGTGGTGGAAGAGAGATAGAAACAGGATGTGGATTACAAGATGAACTAAGAAAACTGGTGGCTGGTTAGATCTAGGGCCACAGAAAAGTAGCCACCAAAGATGCCTTTAAGCCTAAGATCCAAAATGATGATGATGCTCTCAAGAAAACAGAAGTCTGGAAAAGAAGGATTGACAGGAGAGATAATCAGATTTGTTTTATAAAGTATGTCTGAAAAGATTTCAAGGCCTCAGTGGAAATGCCCCACAGTAGAATGAAAGCAGGTAGAATCTGGTGACATATATTGTGTATCTAGAGATGTGAGAAAGACTAACAAAGGATCATTAGAATCAGCAGGAATGAATTCATTAATAAAATGTGAGTTTAACAGCAATAGGGCCAGGGGCGCCTGGGTGGCTCAGCTGTAAATTAAGCGTCTGCCTTCAGTGAGGGTCATGATCCCAGAGTCCTGGGATCGAGTCCCGCATCGGGCTCCCTGCTCAGTGGGAAGCCTGCTTCTCCCTCTCCCCACACCACCCCCCCGCTCTTGCTCTCTCTCTATCTCTCTTTCTCTCAAATAAATAAAATCTTTTTTTTTTTTTTAAGATTTTATTTATTTATTTTACAGAGAGAGAGACAGTGAGAAAGGGAACACAAGCAAGGGGAGTGGGAGAGGGAGAAGCAGGCTCCCCAGCGAGCAGGGAGCCTGATGCGGGGCTCGATCCCAGCATCCTGGGATTATGACCTGAGCCGAAGGCAGATGCTTAACGACTGAGCCACCCAGGCGCCCCTCTCAAATAAATAAAATCTTTAAAAAAAATTTAAAGAAGGGCAGTAGGGCCAGAAATCAAAATCTGTTCCATTTATTTTAACTTTCTTGACATCCTCTTCCTCTTGCTATGTTTGTTCCATACCCATCCTTTATTTCCTTATTTGAAATGTGGTTAGTTGCATATTGACCTTCTGTGCCCAAATTCAGGCTTCTACCTTTGGCTATAAAAATTTTTTCTTTGTTCCCATATGTCATAAAAATATTTTTTCTTCTTTCAGTAAACATTTATATTTGTCAACTGGAATGCTTTCTTCTCCCCTGTTTGAACTTAGTTAATCATTCCTGGAAAGAAACCAGTGCCAGTCTGGGAGAAGGTAAAGCTGCTGGAAGGGGAGACTCAGGGCTCTGTCAACAAGGAAGCAAGAACGGTAGGTGTTCACAACCGTGCTGGGTCTAACGGAGGTTGTCTGCAACACTGAAGGCTTACTCGTTTAAAAAAAAACAACTTAGTATTAAGAGCAGTTTGGAAGTTTCCTATAAATTAAATACACAATATGGAAAGATTTTACCAGTAAGAGGAAAGAGAAAGGACAGGAACTTGATCCTAGGTTTAACACGTGCTGAAGTAGGGCAGCAGTAGTAATAATAACCATGTATTAAGTAAGCCTTTAGTGTCGTGGTCTGAGCTATGAGCTTGACATGCATTATCCTCTTTATGCCTCGTGACAAGCCCATGAAGTAGATACAGATCCACAGTCCCTTATTCATCATTCCGAACCCCACAGAGTTTTGAGAACCAGAGGTTTTTGTTTTGTTTATTTTGTAATCCATTTGACAGCTAAACCTATCAGGAGTCAACTTAAGGCTATTTCTTTTCTTTTTTTAATGGATTTTTTTTTAATTTTATTAATTTATTTGACAGAGAGAAAGACAGCAAGAGAGGGAACACAAGCAGGGGCAGAAGGAGAAGGAGGCTCTCTGCCAAGCAGGAAGCCCAATGTGGGGCTTGATCCCAGGACCCTGGGATCATGACCTGAGCCGAAGGCAGACGCTTAACAACTGAGCCACCTAGGTGCCCCCCCCCTTTTTTTAAATGGATTTTTTTAAAAGATTTTATTAATTTATTGACAGAAGACTAAGGTTGCTGAAGATTCTGAGGTGCGGTGTTAGAGTATTTTGTCGTCTGGTATGTGATGTTATCTCTTACACCATTTCTCTGCCCTCAAAAGCTTGAGGTGAATGGATTTTTCCCATTTTATCAGGTACCTTTTTTTTTGTTTCAAGTTTTTATTTAAATTCTAGTTAGTTAACATAGAGTGAAATATTGGCTCAGGAATAGAATTTAGTGGTTATCAGGTACCTTTAGATTGAACAGTGTGCTTGACTCTGGAGATGAAAAACAAAAGGTCATGACCTCTAGTAGTTTAGTAGAAGAGAGAGATAAAAAAGTGAAAAAAATAGAATTCCCAGTTTAACATTCTGTAATAGAAGCATGCATAAGTGCAGGGTTTGCAGAGATAAAGGAGCACCTCAGTCTGCCCAGCAGAGTTGCATTATTCTCCCTGTGGTTCCACACATACAGCCAAGGCAGGGAAGACCATCTTCACATGATACTGACAAGTGCTTCTGTAGTAACTGTTATTCGGAAATTCACTACTAGGATCCCTAATGCTGGAGGAAATTTCCCTCTTGAGCTCCACAGTTTGCTTTTGATATTTCTTAGCAGTCCTGTATTCAAAAATACATTTTCTTAAGCTATTTTCTTCCTTAATTACCCCAACAGTGGACACTCACCACCTGTTTTTTCTGTGTTGAATACTAGAAAGCTCTAAAGAGGTTCTATGACATTATCTTCTTGCCACTCTGATGAATGATTAAAGGAACTCAGAATTTTGAGCCTGCAGGGAAAAAAAAAAGTATTTAGAATGGGCCTGACAGTTTGTCTTCATAAACCTTTGTTTGAAGTACGTCATTTCCCACCTTAAAACTCCTTTTACCTCCATGTCCATTTCCAGCAATGACTCTTATTTCTCACTCTCTTCAGAGAAAAACTTCTTGAAATAGATGTTCTTTGTTTCCATCTCTTCACATTCTGTTCATTTCTAACCTACGCATCCCTTCTGCCAACACCTAACACATAATAAGTCTATTCACGTATTTGTTGAATGAAAAAGTACATCAGTTATAAAATTTCAATGTGCTCTGAAAGCAGTGAGGTCGAGGTGCTTTCCCATCTGGCTTATCCTGATGAATTAATAGGCTGAGTGTCAACAAAAGGACAGATGCAAGAAAAGAAACTTAGCAGCATCATATGAGGCACGGAAAGAAATACTTAACATTTTGTGTGATGAAGTGCAAGTACAGCTTTGAGTTAGAAGATAATTAACGAGATCTTAGACATAATTATTAGAGTTTTGTGCATTGAGTGAGTGGGGGTGGGAAGGTGTGGGGGAGGGTAGCAGACCTTAAGACCACTGTGGTCATCATACTGTCCTAGAGCAGCCTTCAAGGTAGTTCCCTTTCAAAAGCACAAAGACAAAATGGAAACATGCTGAGGGGGGACAACTTGAAGCACTATCAAATGAGAAGTAGTTGATGGACTGGATTATTTCACAGAAAGAAAATTTAAAGTGGACTATAGTTGTTATTAACAAACATCTGTTAAGGAGGATCATGGAGATAATAAGATAGAATTTTTCTGAAGTCAAGAATTAGGATAAATAAATCAAAATTCCAAGAGAGTTTTCAGCACCATATAAGCAACTGCTGATCCTAATCTGTCACATGAAGAATTTAAGCATTGACTAGATGCCCACTAACAGGTGAGATTTAAACACAAGAGTTGAAGCTGGAACAGATGAATGTTCTTCCTAGTCCTGTGAGGAACATAGTTATTCTAGAGAACAACTGCTAATCTTGGAAAGGCATGTTACCACCTGACATTTATTTTGCCTTAAAGCTGTGTTGGTAATAAAATAGTATTTACATTCCCTAAGGTTAACTATGAGGTGTTTGTGATGATGATGTTATTGGAAGCATGAGGAACCTCTGATCTCAGTACCTCACTGACACCTAAACTACAAGTGCTCACATCCACTATTTTCAACATTGACTACCAAAAAAGCAAGCCCAAGAAAGAGAAGAATATTTCAACTCCAGTTAGATTCTTAGCAGTATTATAAAGACCTACTTCAATGAGACCAAAGTGGTCCGAGAGACAGGTCAGGGTGGATTTTCCAAAGCCACAGGGTGGGCCTCTACAAAATCAAGAAACATCCTCCCATAGCAAGACAAGAATCATACAGGGGAAGGCTGCATATACTGTGCGTAACAGTAAACAAACTTAGTGCATCTGTGAGGTCCAAATAGGTGTTTTATATAGAGAGAAAAACAGGGGATATAGCTCAGGAGTAGAGCATTTGACTGCATATATATAGAAAAACCCATTAGATAAAAAGTTCAGTATGCAGTCTTTTCAAAAAATGGTGCTGCAATAATTGGACATTCACATGTAAAAGAATGAAACTGGGCCCACTGGATCTGAGATCACTCACAAAAATTAACTCAAAATAGATTAAAGACTTAAATGTAAGATTGAAGCCATGAAACTCCTAGAACAAAACATAGGAACATAGTTTCTTGACATGGCTCTTGGTAATGAGTTTTTGGATGTGACACCTAGGGCACAAGCAACACAATAAAAAATAAATAAATAAATAAATGGAACGACATCAAACTAAAAAGCTTCTGCAGAGTGAAAAGACAATTTTTCTTTTTACAAATATTTACAATATTACAAATCTTTACAAACCATTTATCTAATAAAGGATTAATACTCAAAATGTACAAAAAATTCATGCAACTCAATAGCAAAAACCCCAGATAACCCAGTTAAAAAATGCACGAAGACATTTCTTGGTGAATAGACATTTCTGCAATTGTCCATGAAAAGATGCTCAACATCACTAGTCATTAGGGAAATGCAAATGAAAACCACAATGCAATATTACCTCATGCCTAGTATAACAGCCATCCACACAAAAACAAGAGATACTGAATGCTGGCAAGGATGTGGAGAAAAGGAAACCTTGGGGCACTGTTGGTGGGATGGTAAATTGGTGCAGCCACCGTGGAAAATAGTATGGAGGACCTTCAAAAAATTAAAAATAGAGCTCCCATATGATCCAGCAATTCCACTTCTTCCAAAGACTTATGAAACACTAACTTGAAAAGATATCTGCACCTTCATGTTAACAGCAGTATTATTTACAATAGCCAAGACACAGAAACAACCTAAGTGTCCACTGAAGGATGAACGGATAAAGAAGTGGTATATACATGTGGTATATATATGTGTATATATACACCCACACCATGGAATAGTACTAGGCCATAGAAAATGAGGAAATCCTACCATTTGCAACAAAACAAATGGAACTTGAAGGCTTTATGCTAAGTGAAATCAGTCAGACACAGGACAAATACCATATGATGTCACTCACATGTGGAACCAAACAAACAAACTGAAAAACAAGAAAAACTCACAGAGAAAGAGATCAGACTTGTGGTTACCACAGGCAGGGGACGCGGGTAGGGGGAACTGGAGAAAGATGGTCAAAAGGTACAAACTTCCAGTTATAGAGGGAAGGTGTTAGAATAAATCCTGAGAGTTCTCATCACAAGGAGAACATTTTTTCCCTTTATTCTTTTCTTCTTTCTTTTCTTTTTCTTGTATCTATATGAGGAAATGGTTGCTAACTGAATCTACTGTGGTAATTATTTCACAATATATGTAAATCAAACCATCATGCCGTGTGCCTTAAACTTATACAGTGACATATGTCAATTATTTCTCAATAAATCTGGGGAAAAAACAGGGTGCCTGGGTGGCTCAGTCAATTAAGCGTCTGCCTTCGGCTGGCTCAGGCCCTGATCCCAGGGCTCTGGGGATTGAGCCCCACTTTGGGCTCCCTCTCCCTCTGCACCCACACCCCTGCCCCGTGCTCATGAGCTTGCTCTCTCTCTCTCTCAAATAAATAAATGAAATCTTTAAAAAAAAAATGGGAAAAATATCCCATAAGGTATATGAACAAGGATACAGAAACTTACCCACAATTATGTGACCTACTGGTTTCTGACAAGAATAAGATTGCAGAGTGATAAAGAAAAATGGTAGTTTCGGGCGCCTGGGTGGCTCAGTTGGTTAAGCGACTGCCTTTGGCTCTGATCCTGGAGTCCCGGGATCGAGTCCCACATCGGGCTCCCTGCTCAGCAGGGAGTCTGCTTCTCCCTCTGACCCTCCTCCCTCTCATGCTCTCTGTCTCTCATTCTCTCTCTCACAAATAAATAAAATCTTAAAAAAAAAAAAAAGAAAAGAAAAATGGTAGTTTCAATAAATAAAATTGGGTTGACCATCCACAAATCCATG